TTCCCATGCAAAGAAAGGATTTCGGGGAGATGCCCCTGATTTTTAAATAATTTTGGATGGAACAATCTGGTGCTAGAGGTGGTGTTGTCGGCCAGAATATTGTAGAGAGAATTAACTGTGAATTTACCTTGGTATCCTTGTTTATAATACTATGCATTTTCTATCTCAAAAAAAAGTAGCAGAAACATAAAAGAACTTAGTTCATATATGAAAAAATATTAAAGAATTTAGAAGATGAGAGAAGAATTAGAATTTAGGAAGAAGAAAGAGTAAGAAGACAAAGAGCGAAGAGGAACTACTGTAAAGAGAAGTTTGAAATTTCAATTATATATTTTCTGGATACAAAACACATTCCGACACAACCTTTTATAGCAAAAAAGTAACTAATTGAAACTGATCTTTAACAAATTAAAACGATCTAACTAATTATTTTTAATAAATTCTAACCACTATTAGTTCAGGCCTGACAGAAACATGTAATGTTTATTCATAAAACTCATCATCCCTTCAGAAGGTAGAAAACAGAGTCCTCTTTAATATGTGTTCATTTAATAAAAGTAAAAGAGAGAAAAGAGATGCATCCATATTTACTGAAAATCTTGTCAATTTAAAGACAGCCATCTTCTAATTGACAAAATAGAAGTCATCAACAAAAAATAAATAAGCCTACTATAAAAATAAAAATAAAAATTAAGAAAATATGTTTGCAATAGTAGACAAGGTGCCTTAAAGATTTATTAAAAATTTCTGAATTAAGTCACAAACGTAAAACCTTCTCAAGTCCAAGATACCTTCACTGCAGTTCCTAAAAATACAATTCACATAATAAGCAGCAGTATTTTTTGGAATCCAATTTTATCCAACCCTAGCACATCCACTTGGCTGGCTTCTTATCCTAGAGTGGCTAAGATACATGAGGTGTTGCGGATCACTAGCTAATACACAAAAAGCTTAAAGGCTAAGTTGGTCAAGGGTGTAGATAGGAATATCACAATTCGAAAAAAAAAAATGAAGAAGTGAACAAGTGAATCAGCCTCTAAAACTAAATGTACGAAAATCCATGAACGCTTGCGTTCACCATTCTTGAACCAAAGCAAAAAAAGCCAAAAGGGTGGAATAACAAAACATTGTAATCTCCCTTGTAAAGAGTTATCTTTCTCTCCTTGAATTCTTCATAGAAACAAACCTTTTGCAGAAAAGGCAACAAGATGGTCTCTTCTCCAAAAAAAATAAAAGTTTGCAAATAGTAACTTCTTCATTTGTTATTGTTTTACCGACCATTAACAAACTTGTTTACATATTGAAGCGAAAAGTCCAGCAGATGTCGAAATTACACAACATTAAAGAACAAATATACTTCAAGTATACACAAGAAGACTCTAGTACTGTATTTAACCCTTACCAAATATGTCAATTCCAAGCTGTTCATATAATGGACTGAAGAAACCATCAACAAACTGGATAAACCACCATGTGATAAAAAATGTAACTGCTACAGGAAACAGAACTACACTGCATTTTAGGAAGTCATCATAATGTCAGAATCCAGAGATCAAAAGAAAGTGAGATAACTCTTAGCTCATGTCATGCAATATCTAAATAATTACCATCCAGTCATAAATTTCTTTGAGACCCAACTCTGAAGAACAAAACAGCAAGCCTGAAAAGATTAATATGAAATAAAAATGAGATGTGCAGATATAAAAGTGTTTGCCCCTTTTTTAAATGTAATTTCGACGTATCTAACATAATTATCTATAATAAGTCTGTGGGTTACTACAGAAACAAGCAACGTTTTAGGACAGGTATATGATCATAGTGTCTCTGTTTGCACTAACTTATGGTAAATTATGTATGTGTTTGTGTTAAGAAGAGAAAAGAGAAAGAGAAGCAAGAGATTAAAAGTTGTTGAAGTTCTCAATCACAGAACAAAATCAAGAAAGACCGCAATTCAGCATGCAATCATGGATATGAGATAGGTCAACAAGGATACATTCACAAGTTGATTGCTGTATATATTACCAAATCGGTGTCATGTAGCCACTTTAAAACTGGGCCCATTAGAGAGGAGGAGGACTGTTTTCCCAGTCATTCATGATTGCATTTCAAATTCCAAACCACTGCATTTATCTCAACCATTCACATCTTATCAAACCCAACATGATATAATATATGAGGGCAGATTAATTCAAACACGAGACATTTGTACAATAGAAATGCCAGCATCTCTTCTATGCATGTAAGCTGAGGACAGAAGTAACTACTTTCCCACTGAATAATATAATTGTTTGAATTCTTGAGTGCAGCAATGGTACCTATTGTAATCTGTGCCTTTTAAGAGGATATGGTCAAGAAAAATGATAGACCTAGATATAAATTGTGTGCGACATGAATTTTAAGTGGATTATGACAGCAACATCCATCATAGTGATTTTTTTTTCTGTTGATGGTTGGTCATATAATTTTTTAGTATTAGTTCAATCCTAATATTTGCACAAAGCAATGCTTTTGAACTACTTAAAACTTGCAAGTTACTCTTGACAACTGTTCCTCCAAAGACTCTTTCTATTATCAAAATAAGCCTTTGTCAACTTCTCCTCACCTTAAAATTTTAATCTATACTCATTTGTGACGATTCTTAGTAAATAACTTCTGAATTTCAACTTCTGCAATGCACCCAACAACTTTCCAAGCCAACAGCAAAATAAGTTGTCAAATACCTATTAGTTCACGAGAATTCCATAATTACTTTGATATCAGTCACATATTACCTAAATTTCAAACCAAACCTCACCTTTTTCAACAAATCAAAATTAAAAAGAAAACATGCATCATACAACAATAATATGATTATCAATTGTTCATAACAGCTTCAATAAATGTCATCATAGTCGGTGATAGATTAACCAAATACCCGCATTACTTGTGTCATCAAATTGTTGCGCAATCTTAATATAAGCGAAATTTTGAATTTAATCAGAAAAAAATATATATAAATATAGTGGATCCATGAATTTTCATAAGCAGCAATTTAATGATTGAAAAAAAAAAAAGTGTGAAAAAAAGAAGACAAACGGACGGCGGGGATTAAAATGGCGGACCTCGCGAGTAGAAGAATTAGCGGAGGTAGGTGGAGACTTGGCATGATCCTCGGGATCTAGGCCGCCATTTTCAGCTTGACTGAGTGGAATAGAAGTTGATTCCTTCTCTTGAGCCATTTTCTTTGTTTCCTTTACCTCTTAGTTGCAGGAGATAATTATCGAGGCGAGGCGAGAGGGACGAGGAGAAGACTTTGACTAGAAGTTCCCCTAACTTTCTGAAAATTGGAAACGGTGAAGAGGGTAAGGAGGCAGGAAGGCTAAAGAGGCAGGAAGCTTGCTTTTTTTTATTTGTTTGGAGAATTAATAAATAATATTTATTTTTGAAATTAGCTGGCGGTGTTATACAGTAGAAACTTTGAAAGTAAGGATTAGATAATAATTTAAAAAAATAATAATAATAATAATAATAATGGCAATGCTCCTTGAAGCAACGTGACAGGCGAGCTTAGGGTGTTAGGCGTTATATCTTAAAACGGAAATTTTGATTTTATTATTTTAAATTTTATTTTTATTTCTATATCAGCCCAAATTTTTAAATAATTTTTCTTTAAATATTAATTTTTTAAAAAAAGACAAATATATATATCCTATGCTCCTCACACCATTTATTCTGCATGCAGTAAATAATTTTAAAAACACTTATGAAGACAAAAACACTACACTTTCCGTTATTTTTCTACTTGACTAAATTCATTTTTTTTAGAATTTCTCTCTACTAAAGGTTTTTTTGTTTTTCTGAAATAGAGAAATTGATGAACTTAAGATAACATAGCCTTGGAATATATTTATAATAGTATATTTTTATGATATTAATATTTTAGTAGTAATATATCATAATATCAAATTTAAAATTCTGTATGCGGTGAATTATTACTTTAGTGAATTGAGGGTAGCATGACATTTTTATTAGCTGGTTGTATTTTGTATAAAAATGTTTAAAATGAGAAAGGAATTTCAAATTGGCTACTTGATGATTTATTTTTCTAGCTTTTAAGTAAAAAAAAAACAAGAGATATTGATTAATTACTTATGATTCTCATATCAACTATGAACCTCAATAAATATTCATTTAATGATTGCAAAGTACAATAATAAATTGATAGTATTATGTTTTGATAATATAGAGTAAATTTTTCTTAAATTCAAAAAATAATGAAGAAAAAGTGTTTAGATAAATAAAATTTTGAAATGAATATTCAAGATACCTATTTTGAATTTAGAAGGAAAATATACCAAACAATAAAAATAGTGTAATAGTTTTTAGTTAGATTCATATGCCAAACTTGAACTTAAATTGTAATAAATATGAGTCATGCACAATAGAGATAATTAATTTGTCTAAACTTTCAAGCGTGTTCTCACTCAAAACTCGTGCAGAACATTTAATCGCTCTCCACTCGCTAATCAAAGGCCCCTTAAGGCCTTGTAAAAGGATAAGAAGAGCTTAGTCACATCGATGGGGCAGCTCCCCTTACGATTATTCTTTCAAAAGCAAATGTTTTAGAGTATTCCATTCTTGTAACAGTCACTAATTCGAATCCTACTCCTTTAAAATTTTTGACCTCATTATGGGTGAAATTTTCAGTGGTAATGGAATACACTTTCTTTCGGGAAAGTGTAAAAGTGTAACCTATTGCCTCTTTATTTCACATAAATAACTGAGCGCATTCAACTCCTTTTGGTTTTCTATTTATGTATCTATTGATTTCCTACCTACTCGCATTCTCTTTATCGATCTTTTGTATATGAAAGGAAAAATCTTTATTCACTGTCTTATTTAGGACATTCTCAGTCTTGGATCTCTTCTGCTAAGATCTCCAGTGTCATCCTCTGTAAGGAGTTGAGCTATCTGTTTATCCTAAGCCCTAAATAAAAATAAAGAAGGATAGGAGAATATGTGGTGATCAAAGCCAGTCTAATACCCCACCATAAAAGGGTAGACTACTTAATGTTCCAATTCATGAGGGTTAATATATTCCACGTTTAGAGAGGGGTGAATACTCAAGCAAACTCGCTTGAAAGCTTGGTAGCTTCTTTGATTCTCCCATCTGAAAAGACTACGATTATCATAGTTAGGTAACGAAGGGTCATGTCAACCCCTCCGCGAAATAACCCAAGCAGAATCAGTTAACATGATAACTACTGAAGAGGGTAAAGAAGATTGGCGAGAATGTCTTGCAATCATTCATCGACTTCAAGGCGAGTTCAAAAGCTTGATAATTGACTTTGGAGAGCCCTTTTTAGACTTAGCTCTTCCATAAAAGTAGAGGAGACAATATATGTCGCACATTCATACATTGTACCATAAAAGTAAAAAATATTTTTTTTCTCATTTGAGATGCATATTCTAAGATTGTTTGAAGTACGACAAATAGGTAGTGTTATAGTAAATAAGAATATGATGAGTAAAAAAAATTAAAACAAGTGTAGTTGTGTTAATTAATTAATCAATTTTTGTATAAACTCACTAAATGTTAACTTTAAATTAACACTAAGTGTTACTTTTAACCACCATAAAACTCTTAATCAACTTCTATTTCTAATCACCAATGTAGCTGCGGTAACTGTCTAAATTTAATGAATGAGTAGACAACAAATTCAAGCATAGACTTAGTACATCTCACTCATTTTTTAGTTTTAAATGTACAACTAAAATTAGTTTGTACATGAATTCCACCAATACCCACTATATTTATATAACTAGTATTATCTATCTTCAATATGCAAATTTTCATGAGTTGCACTCAGAACAAAATATCCCTCCTAATTATAGCAGGATAACATGCTCATTAATTAATGATCTACTCAAGATAAAGATCTATGACAACATTACACTAATCCACTTACAAGGTTAGTCCTATTAGTTTTTTGCATTCTTCAAATGCAGTATCATTTATGTTATCATTATCTGCATTTTTTTAGTCTTCTCATAATTCTATTATCTCTTAAACAAATTATAGTTTCTTTTAATATGATTATCTTTACTACTGTGATAACATTTGAACATCCTCTTTGCCTAGACTTTCTTCTAGATTTACCATGCCCCTTATAATCTATACTCTTACTTCTATCCTTGTTTTTTGTGACAAGAATCTATGAAGAATATGCACCCACATTCTTACATCTAATTTCTTCATTTTGCATATAGTCTTTTACCATATGTAAAATAATAACTCCATTATGAGCAAAGTAGTTAAAAGACATTATCAATATTTCCCAATTGTTTGGTAAAAAACTTAATAAAAGAAAAGTTTGCAATACATCATCGAGTTATATCTTCACGTTGCATAACTGATTTATTAAATCTTAAAAGTAACTCAGATATTATGATATAGATTTTCTTTATTTAAACTTCAAGTTTACTAGCCTCCTATGTAAA